AATTAATTTGTATCTTGTTTTACGAAAAAATGTTACGCGTTTGTCCTTAATTTACATGAATGGTCAAAAGATTTTCAAATATAGCGATGCAGTTATAGAACATTTGATTGATTGTTAATTCGCAGGAAGAGAATTTCCACGTTTAATTCACTGCTTCTCGAGTTTTATTCATCAATGATCAATGGCAACATGATCCATTTTACTTATTGTATACATGTTGTAGAGATCGTATTACACAAAGCCATGCAATATTGTCATGCGCTTGTAGTTTTAATATACTAGACAACTAGGTATAAACAAGACGCCTACTCAGGCGTTCACACTGACCTGAAAATGATGACATGCGCGCTATGCAATCTCGTTCCCCGAGCCTGCGATCCTTGGGAAGGAAACAAAGGCTCTGGGATAATCCGTTTCAGGGAGGAATCTGATTGGCCGTTGAAATGGAATGCGTAGTTCAATCTTAGCCAGGATTCCTGGCTTCCGGCAACGGATTATCCCAGAGCCTCGCGTTCCTTCCCGAGGATCGCAGGCTCGGGGAACGAGATTGGCGCGCTATGGTGCAATCTCGTTCCCTGGGCCTGCGGTCCTTGGGAAGGAAACAAAGGCTCTGGGATAATCCGTTTCAGGGAGGAATCTGATTGGCCGTTGATATGGAATGTGCAGTTCAATCTTAGCCAGAATTCCTGGCTTTCGGCAACAGATTATCCCAGAGCCTTCGTTTTTTTCCCGAGGATCGCAGGCTCGGGGAACGAGATTAGCTATGGTGTAATAGACAAGGGAATGGGGAGCAAGAGAGTTCGTATAGATCAATTTCAGCGGTAGATACGGTAGATTTATCCAAAGAAAATCAATAATTTGACAAAAAAAAGCAGAAGGCTGAAATCACCACTTTATCATTGGCAACTTTTCAACCCTATATACGATGCAATTAGTGCAACCTTGAGTGTCCCTATATGTCGTGGAGTTTATCTATTGGTCGATTGTCGAGGGTTAAATGTCGAGGGCGAGGGTAAAACGTCGAGGTCGAGGGTAAAACGTCGAGGGCAAGGTTATATGCGTTCCACGCACATATTATAAGCTACTACGTGCATTTTAAATGTACTAACAGGGCAATTTAAACTTCACGGCAAACGGCCTTTTTGGCCGCCGACTTAGTGGAATTTTTCTTCTTCGTTCGCTTCATCTTCTCATTGTTATCTCAAAAGAATCATCATACATTACAGTTTTAAAATAGCTAGTTCATTTCCCATTTATTACCTTGATCCTTGTAGCATAAGTTTTATATTTACTATAGCTACCACAAACGGCTTTTTGCAATTTTGCGCACCCAGCGCTGCGCGAATGCTAGTAGCTGCTGCATAAATTTTAATACACATCTATGTGTTATGCTACATTATACACATGAGAAAAATCCAACACTGTATGCTATATTGTCGACATTTTGTAGCAGATTTCGTAACAAATGTCTTAGTTCTTGTTCATTGCCAGTGGTATTTTGAACGCACGCTTTATCTTTACTTGCGCCAATTCTAGTAGGCTAGTAGCTACTGCACGAATTTTAATACATGTATTATATATGGCGCGTTTTTACTGTCAAAATTCAATAGTTCCAATAGTTATAAGTCGAACACCAAATCACCAATGATACAAATCGGGCAATACTTACTCGAATCGAGCAGATTGATATGTAAATCGATTATTGAAATCGATCAATACACATTCAAAACGAGCAAACAGTATAGCCAAATCGAACGACTATTCCTTGTTTATATTATATTGTGAACTAATTGTTATTGTATTTATGTATTAGGCAAATGAGAACCATGCAATAAATGTCTTGGTATTTTGAATGCAAGCTTTATCTTTACTACTTGCCCGAAGTCTAGTAGCTACTGCGCGAATTTTACTACATGTATTAAGGTATATTGCCGACATTTTGTAGGTGAAAAGAATTGGCTAGTTTACATTGCTCATTATATTATGAAATATGATACTAGTTAAAATTCGCGTCGAACTAAATGTTATTGTATTAGGCAAATGAAAACCATACAATAAATGTCTTAGTTCTTGTAGGTATTTTGAAGGCACGCTTTATCTTTAGTAGGCTATAGCTACCACAAAGCGTTTGGCGCACCAACTAGTAGCTACTGCGCGAATTTTAATACATGTATTAAGGTATATTGTCGACATTGTGTAGTGAAACTGTCAAACCTTTAACTTTTCCTTGTTTATATTTTGTTTATATTATATTTTGAACTAAATGTTATTCTATCAGGCAAATGAGAACCATACAATAAATGTCTTAGTTCTTTTTGGTATTTTGATCGAACGCTCGCTTTATCTTTCCTTGCGCGAATTCTAGTAGCTATTGCGCGAATTTCAAGACATGTATTTTAATATGGTCAAACCTTTAACTTGCCCTTGTTTATATTGTATTGTGAACTAAATGTTATTGTATTAGGCAAATGAGAACCATACAATAAATCAAAATAAATGTCGAACCTTTAACTTGTCCCAGCTTACATCCCACTATATTGTACAAATTCGCGTCGGGTCCAAATTTTGGGGTTTTCGAGTCGTTGAATACAACATATTGATTGTATAAATCCGCCGGGTCGGCCAAATTTTGGAAGCCAAATTTTAGAGTCGTTTAATACAAGAAGAAAAACATTAATTCAATACGCAAGAAAGTCCAGAGTGCGACAAAAAATGAACACAACTACATCACGGATGTTTATGACTCTACAACGTATATTTATAGACAGTTGTTTATTAGTTAAAAAGTCAAACTGTATAAAAGTTTAACTTGTCCTTTGTAAAATTCGCTGGGTCCAAATTTTGAGGTTTTCGAGTCGTTACACGAAGAAAAACATATTAATTCAACACGCAAGAAAGTTCAGAGTGCGACACAACGTAAACTCCATAGGAAACCGGCACAACTCTTTGAAAATTCAACGAAACTGTGTGAAATATATTCTGATCACTAAGCCAAAAGGTCCAAAAGGCGCCATTTTGAAACTGGACTGAATATGTCACCATTGGAGTTCGGAATTGTGCGCGTGCGTATAAGTCCATATAAGTCTATATATGGGCTAATAAACGAAACATGCACCACAAGCATGGCATGAGCCGGCTATTACGTACATAAATACCAGTTCTTACTATTATATACGAATCGTGGAGTCGAAGAATCGATGGCATTTTGGATTAATCGTTGCACCCTGAGCCTGCGATGCGCTAACGCAAACTCGATTTCTCGACGACGAAAAAAACAGAAAACAGAAAACTAGGGATTTAAGACACTTGACCTTTCAGGTCAGTGTAATTATAAAATATATACTGAATGTCATAAACATACTCGTTTATATTAATTCAGCAAGTGTTATGTTGAGTTGTGTAATTGTACACTCCGTAATATGTTACGGTGAAAATGTTCTCGAGTGTGTATTATATAATTTCCATACCCAGCGTAAAAAAAAAAAAAAAATCTTAAATCCGTCTGACCGTGTAGCTCAGTTGGTGGAGCGTCGATCTAGTAATTCGAAGGTCGCGGGTTCAAGACCCAGCCGCGGCAGACTTTATCTTTCTGCTTACGCTGGGTATGGAAATTATATAATACACACTCGAGAACATTTTCACCTTAACATATTACGGAGTGTACATGCAATTACACAACTCAACATATATATATATATATATATATATATATATATATATATATATATATATATATATATATATATATATATAAATATATATATATATATATATATATATATATATATAAACTATATATATATATATATATAAACTATATATTAACTTCATAATAGTGTCAGTCTCAAAAGACTATTTATGCTTTTTGGTTATTGTGCTCATTTCTGCGTTCTCTCTTATTTGCACCTGTATATAATTTTTTTCAAAATCCCTTTTGTCTCTTATATGTTATCTATATACATATTTGCGCATGTTTGAAAGTTGCATGATCGATCCTATGCTTATTGACTAGAGATGTAGTGAATACCAGAAGAAATGATAATAGAACCAGTGGCGTAGCCTGCGTGCAGGCCCAAGGGAACTGATAGTGGGCCTGCAAGCAAGGCCCGGTATTTTGTAAAACGCCCCTTTTCATAACACGCCCCATTCGCGCGTCAATTGTCAAAAAAGAATCAATGACAACACCCAAATATTAACAAACAAACTCGCATTAAAATGTTGCTGGGTTTTCTCTGCTTATTCAGGACATAAACAATGTGTTGAAATGGCTGCGTTTTAACTCCAAAAAAGCAAGCAACGCAGTCAGTAATTGCCAAATTTGCAAGTGCTCATTTTTAACTAAAATCGGAACAGGCAAATTAGGACGAATTTGAACAGAAAACCAGTCTCAAACTTCAAATCGTGAGGGAAGTCGTGCGACCACATCAGCATTAATGTGTGCTTCGCTGTCGCCATTGTTATAAATAAATTGTCTCACTTATCAGATCGTGTGTGCAATTCTTGTTGGCGGCGGAAAGTACGAAATTTATTTCAGTTATTTCATTTGGTAAAGAACTCTACAAAAGAAGAGAGCGTTAAGAGTCCAGATCGTTTCGTTTCAAACGGCAATTTAATACCGTCTTCTGTTTCGCTCTCTCAGCGAAGCCTTGTAAATCGCAAAGTATTTCGAATAGGCTTACATGCAACTGCATCTAAACATCAACCAAAAGATCATTTTCTTGAGGAACATATAACGTATCAAGTCTGTTTGAAATTAATGAAACTCAAGTGTATTAAAGGCTCTGTGGTATAAAAGGTTACTATAGTTTACCCCAGTCGTAATGTTGTTATTCCAACACCTCACGACAAGCAATCCCCATTGGCATAACGGCAAAAACATCTCTTCCTTCGAGTAAACAATAAACAGTCTGTTCTTGTTCCATTTGTAATCGAAAAAGTGATCAATTTTCGAATTTTAAGCTTATCAAGAGCTTTTGTTATGAATCACTGACCTAGTTATAGAATCCAACAGCAAACAGCCAATCAGAATGCCGCGTTCGTGGGCGAACGCGGAAAGTACAAAATACCGGGCCTTGCTTGCAGGCCCACTATCAGTTCCCTTGGGCCTGCACGCGGGCTACCAGTGGCGTAGGCAAGGGCACATTTTTGGAGGGGCGAAGCGAAAACCAAAAGCATGGCTCATGTTCCGGGCCTGTTCCCTCGGAAGAAGTTTGAAATCTGGGTTTCTGAAATGGAATTTCAAGCAGTTTGGGGTGATATTTTGGAGAATTCCAATGATTATAAAGTACATCAAAGACATGATTTTTTATGATTTCAAAAACGTACCTTTTCCCAGACATTTGTTTTCGGAAATAAATAATTGGAAAAGTCATCTTGGAAAACTGGAGGAGGGGTCCGTGTCACCTTATTTCCTCTCCAAGTGAACGTGAGGAAACCTAAACTAACTTAAGGTTTTAACTTTAATATCGATGTTGATAATGGATAGCTACAGTAGCTCTTTCAGTGATAAACTGCTTTTCTCACCGATAGTGGTTCAGTATTACAACAGTCCTAGTAGAGAATGAAAACTAAACTAACTTTATAGTTTTGATACTGCATAGCTCTATCAGTTCTAAATTGAATTTGGAGGTCCATTGTGTTTGGTTGAGTCAGGGACTCTGAAAGAACTCTCACTTACATCAGAGGTACAGGAATGTACAAATAAAAGGCACTAACACACCCTATTTCACGTAGTTGTAACAGTTAAAATTCGTAAAATTAATTTATTTTCGTGATTCGTGAGAAGCATAGATGTTAACTAGGTCCTACGAGGTCAAGGATCTTTTTGTGGTTTATTACAATGGTATAAAGACAACGAAATATCTAAATTAAACAAAAAAAACAACCAAAAAAACATACATGATAGCGAATATCTTTTTATCTCCAAATTACGGAAAATTATCAATTAATTTAAAACAATAGATTAAAGTGTATAATTACTTATAGCAGACAAGCTGTCTGTATATTTGTAACATCTATCCTTGGGAGACCGAATTCAAATGATTTTAAAAAGAACCTCTTTATTCTAAATCATCGACATGTTATCTCAATTATAGGCGGCAGGCAGGGTAGCGAAATAATAATGTGAATTATGGCTTTTTTTATGATTTTCAAATTGCAAAATATATAAATGATGTCATTCAAAATTGGCTCTTACTCCTTTTTCCTACTGACTAGTTTGTCAGTGGCGTAACAACAGCTCTATATTTGTTTTGTTTGGTGGGGCGGCGAAGCAAACGACAATAGCGTGAGATTCCAAAATTTGAAATCTAGAGTCCCGGAAATGCGATTTGAAGCATTTTGGGGGTGAAATTTGCAGAATTCCGAGGATTATCAAGTGCATCAAAGACATTATTTTACCAGATATTTCTCTTCGGATCTAAATGAATTGCATAGAAAAGTCACGTTGGAAAACTGGAAGAGGAGTCCGTGTCATCTTATTTTCCTTCTGTGCGTGAAGGGGGGGGGGGGGCGAAGAAAATCGCACTGTAATTTTGATCGAAAATTTTGCATTTAGATAATTCTATGAGACGCATTTTTCGCATTCTCAAAATTGCATTACTTTTCGTAAGATACATGGTATACATAATAAATTTGAGAAAAAATATTCAATGCTATGGCAATTTAGCAGTCGAAGATCTAAACTAAATCTATTCTTCTTGGAATCATATATACAAATGTTTTAAAGAGATTTCGCACATCAAGTTCCTCCAGTAAATCGTCGTTCTCTTAGAGCGAGACCTTTAACTTCGAGCATGTAACGTGTATCCTTACCCCTCCAATTTCTCCGTGGATTTAGAACGATTGGGGGCGGTTCCCCTCCTTGGCTACGCCACTGAATAGAACCATATATCCTCTCTTATTTGCATCTGTATATAATTTTTTTCAAAATCTCTTTTGTTACTTATATATTATACATTCGTATGCAACTATACAACATATATAGTTGTGTCTGACTCTTTGAAAGTTGCATGATTGATCCCATGCTCATTGACAGTTTTCGTTCTTAATTGACTATGAGAAGAAATGATAATAAAACCGTATAATATCGTGTCCGTAATAACTATAACAGTATAAGCAATTGCAAAATATGATCATAACATATGGGGAATGTTTCCGAAATTGTAAAGAAAGCATCTAAGCCACTTTATTTTTTAACTCACTTAAGACACTCTAAAGTAGGTAGTAAAGAACTAGTCCAATTTTTTAAATCATGTATTCGATCCTTGATGCATGCATGGAGTATGCATGCGTATCCAGCATTTCATGACAATCTACCTGGTTTCTCAAATGATCTTCAGGGAATTGAAAAACTTGGTATGCGTATAGCTAATACTTTATGATCCGTCAGCATCGTACAAAGAGGCATTAGCGACTGCAACTTACTGATAAACTTTTCCAACAAATTTTGAATGAGACTCATAAATTTCATAAATTACAACCAGCTGTAAATAGCTCCTCGGTAAATTTAAGGAATAGGGCGTGAATTTACCTACAGTTAGGATAGATTAAGAGTTTATTATTAGAAATTCTAAAAGCATATCAGTAATTAGAACTGATGTACGTTTTAAGTTTTATATTTCAGCTGGCAATATCTGAAAAGGTTATTGTGAATACACTATCTATCTAAGAAATAAGATATATCTACTATAAGGAAATACGGTACCATGTAATTCACAATCATAGTATACAGTAAGTGATTCTGTTAGCGTTACATTTTGAATAACATAAGAAACTTTAATAACAAATATGTCACCTACTGCACTTTCTTATCAACTACCTTGTCACTTTGCGATAAACCAAAAGCCAAACTTGGCCATGCTGAAAAAATCAGGATTTTCAACAGAATTTTTGCAGACATCATTTTGTAAATTACGTCCGCAAGCAAGTTCTGTCTTCTTCCTTCAGCTCTTTGAGACGTAATGAATGCATGTACCTACTGTGTTCAGTTTTAGTGTCCACGCCGCCTCTTGACAACAGGTTAAATTAAGACATATCTGACAAAAGGTCCCAGCGATCTTCATTGTATACCAGCGTCTTGTATTTACAATGCAGATGTACAGCGTATATATGATCCAATTGTGTGTTATTGATCAGTTCCTTGCAAGAAGGGAATTTTTACAGGATTTACTCTCTTTTTGCTCAAAAACAATTGGAGCGCATGCATTCTCTTGTCCAATTAGAATTGAGTATTTTTTTATCAAATGCTCTACCACCATTTATCGATTTACTGATATTAGTTCTGAATCATATATATTTACAAAATATGAACTAATTTTTTATTCTTTAATCGACTTTGCACATCGAATTTATTAATTTTGTAATTACTAAATTGGAATATCGTCAAAAGAGTGGA